TTCCTTGTGTCTGTCCGAAGACAGCTCCCTAAATGCCCTTGCCTCTGCCCCTCCCCCCCACCTCTGGCCGCCTCAGTAGAGATTGGTGGTACCAATCTCTACGGAAGGCATCTCGGGAACCACCTCCATGGGGCCCTCATCAACCTCAAGCGGCAGGGGGGCTGCTCCAGGAAGTGGAGGCCAGATGATATGTGCTCCCTGAACTCAGAGAGCACACCAGAGAACAGTAAGATATCTGTCCTGGTGGAGACCCCTGGTCCCTGGAGGGGCCCCCACTTTCTTCTTCCACTGTGATTTTCCTAGCCATCCCCCCCACCAGGTCTTGCAGCTGGGTGACTTGTTCACGTACAGTCCTGGAGAAGGCCTGGTGTTCCATCCAGGACAGACTCCCAGCAGCAGGTGTTTCTGCCCCTAAGGCCAAACCTTTCTCCAACTCCTCCAGCCTGACCTTCCATCTCCAGGCCAGGAAGTAAGGCCCAAAAGCCATGGCGCTAAGCCCAGACAGACCTCCCGCAGTGGTTCCCACCAGCCCAGAAACAGAGGGCTCCAGCAGGCAGAGAAAAAAACAAACAGCAGGGTGTAGCAGGAGCACAGCAGCACACAACCTTCTCCTTCCTCTATCCAGCCCAAAGTGGTTGGAGCTGGAATTATTTTGTGTTGTAATGCATCCAATAATAACAATATAACAAAATATACAAAACATAAGCAAACTGAACAAGTAATAAACAGCAAACAATATACAAGCTTACGTCAGCATAACAGAAATAAACCAGAAACGGAACATAACCTGGCAAACATACATACATACACTAAACATCAATACGCTAACATTACAGAACAAACTAAGCCTCCTGGGCACCATAAAGAGGGGGGAGAGGGAGTAACCAAACTATTTCATTATGAATAACTGGGGGACAGGATTAACCATGGGGTCAAACACAAAAAGAGGGGGGGCTCCATTACCTCATGGAGAAACTGGTGGGGGAGATAACCTAAAGGGGGGCTCCATTATCATGGAGCACGGGTACCTAAATAAACACCAAAGGGAGGGGGGAACAATCTGACCTGGTGTCCACAGCCAGTCACCCCTAACCAGAGGAGGATGGGAACATACAAACACAAAACACATAAACCTAAACGAATCAATTTCCTCTTGTAAAAACATTCTCTTACAACCCACCACCCAAAAGAAAATCGAGTGCCCACCCATCCACAAACCCACCACCCTCCAAGGAGCCCATCCCTCCGTTCAATAACACACAGTGTCCCACCCCCCACCAAAACAAAAAGTCCATTAAGTCAACATAATAAACATAATAAGAAAACCCACCCCCCACCAAAACCCAAACAATACAGAAATAAGCCCACCTACACAGAAAACAGCAGACCACCACCCACACAACGAAACTCCCTCATAACCACAACAATAACCATAACAAAAAAAACACTACAAACCTACAGAAGAATTTACTCATCTACTCAGCTGTGGCAGCCTTCCATGAGAAAAAAAAACGGTCTCAAAATCTAGGGGGGGAAAGGTGATGAAAAAGATGTTAAAATTCCCACCCACCCCCCCCCACCAAGACAAGGGCACCCATGGAGCGGCTCAAGGTGGGTGGACCTTGAAATTTCACCACCAATGCTGCCAAATGGTGGGATCCATGGAAGCCCTTTCAGTGTTACAGATCCCACAAACCGCTCTCTGAATGTCTACTATCACCACCTGACAGGAAAGGTCTTTGCGCTGTAGGGAGACCTGACATCGTGCCATCCAGGTTTAATACTTGCCAACTGAGCTAACTATAAAATGAGTGCTTAAATTAAATGTCCTCCCCCGTGAGTTGATCGTCCCATACACCAACTATGGACAAGTCATGCGGGATAAGCAGGGAATGCCCAAGGTGGACGAGACCTCTTTGTAGACCTGTACGTTAAAGGGGCACTTGAGGAGAAAGTGGTTCATGGACTCATCTCTTCTAGAACATTCCACCCGTGCACAACCGCGATCTGTGATGTCCCTGTACTTCAAGTTCCCTCTAACGTAAACGGACAGAAACGCTAAGTCTCGGTATTTCTCCGGAAGGCACCTGGTGTTGATGTTTTTCAAGCCCAATGCGATAGTACTTGGCGGGCAGTCCTTCAATGCAAGTTGAATGCCGTAGTAAGTGGCCAAGACCCTCCCCTTGAGAAGCCTCTTGGGAGAGTCCCCTTCTTTTGCCCCAAGCAGATATATACCCATGAAGCTTTAACATTTTCCTCATCACATTCCACTTGCTTAAGATTTGGCTTTAACTCATGGTTGACATACAAACATACCCCACCACACTTCTTGTTTTTCCTATCCTTCCTAAATAACATGTACCTATTTATAACTGCCCAGTCATGTGTCTCATCCCACCATATTTCAGTTATGTCTATTATGTCATGTTGTTTAGTGTATGGTATTGCCTCTAGTCCCCCCATTTTGTTATTTAGGCTCCTTGCAACGCTCTGACAGGTCTCGCGAGATACATGGTCTGCAGTAAAGGCCACCGGACCACCAGAGAGCCCACTGGACCACCAGGCAGCTCACACTGGACCACTAGGGAATAAATAAAGGTATGTAGTCTCCCACCTCTCCCCATCAGACTCCCCTCCCTCTCACCATCACCCTCCTCTCCCTCACACTCATAACCCCCTCCCTCACACCATCACCCCTTCACACACACAGTCTCCCCAGACACTCACACAGTCTCCCCAGACATACTCACACAGTCACCCGTCCCTACACTGTCATCACCCCCCACACTGTCAACCTCTTCATGCACCACACTCACATTAACCACTCCTAATCCTGTTAATCTCACCCCCTCCAAACTCACCCTGTCACATTAACCCCCCTTAATCCTGTCACACTCATCCCTCCTACCATGCCACAATTGCCCTGACACACTAACCTCCACTTGCCCTGTCACACTCCCGTGTCAAACCATGTCCTACTCCCTGTCCCTCAGTGATGTATAGAACTGAAGGTTTAATAGAGCATACTGGTCTTTTATACAAGTTTCCCCACAAGGTTACCGCCCAGGTGGACCTTGTGGGGCACAGGACATAAAATCAACAAGCCAATAAAAACAGTGTTGTACATTCAGACACTCCCAGATTGGCTGGAAGTCTGGAAGTCCCAGCGGTGTTCGTGCGGTCAAGTGGCCGAAAACAGTTCAATACGTTCGACAGTTTAAGATGGGTGCCACCACATGTTCGTGCATATGAACGACGACCACCCAGCCATTCGTCAATTAAGCTGCGGTTAATCACAACTTCTGGGAGGTTAACAAGCAGCACACTCCACGTGCCGGTGGTCCAGTTGTTCGTCAGTTTGTTCGGTAAATGAACACCATTACAATTAATCCATTCGACAAGCCCCATTCACTGAACTATTGCAGGGAACAGGCACAAACAAAAGCCTTTCCACGGTCCTGAACCAAAGTCTAATTCAGGGGCCATAATCCTGGGGCAAGAGGCTGGCAAGCAGGCCCCTCCATAAATGCTGTGACCAAAATAATTGCCCCCAATGTTTCCAACCCTCATACACTGTTGTCACAGTTCCACCTTCTTCTAAGGTGTTTACTGTCATTGACTTGGCAAATGCATTCTTTTCTCTTTCCTTGCACCAAGACAGTCAGTACCTTTTTGCATTCACACACAAGTTCAGCCAAAACACATACATATTGCAAGCATCTCAGGATGCAGTGTGCTCTCCTCATGCCTCCAAATGTTACCCTAAAGAGATGTATGGTGATAAATTCATCTACATTGCTTCCCATGGATTTAAAAGAGGGGAGTAGTGGATATTCTGATCTTTTTGTGAATTCCCTGTCACCAGGCGAGTTAGCTGAAGCCCAGGTACCCTATGATTGTGCAGCATTAAAGGCACAAGAGACAGCAGATTTTTCACATGTAATTGAGTCTCCATTGTCTAATCCAGACTGATAAAAAGACACTTGAGAAAAGATTTCATGGTCCCTTCCAAGTGTTGCTAACCACAGCCAAGTGTTGAAACTAGAAGGAAAAGCCACGTGGATACACGCCACTGTAAACAAGTCACCCTGACTGATCCACCAACATGAAGCTGTTCTTATCCTTTACCATTGTATGCTCTGTTCAGATATGCTACTCTGACTTGAGACCAGAAGATAATAATGCATGACAGGGAAATATATGGATGCAGATAGCAAAGGATTTTAATTTAACCTCCTTTTGCCTCAACCCTCTCCACAGTACTAAAACGCCATACAATCTTGTCTTATAGCTGTCCCTACCCCCATCTCACTCTTGGAGAAGTAACTACATACCCATAGGCCCCATAAAACTCTACAACTACATTCTTATGTTTTCAACCCACTGGTAGGCAAGCCCCCTTAGCCCTGAAGTCAATTAATGTGACAGTCACTGAACTATGTTTGTCTTTTTCATGTAATTGTTCAAGAGACCCTAATACTAAATCCCTGTTTTGCCTTACACGGTGGAAAAATACCACAAATAGTAGAGCTCTGAGCACCACTATGAAATGTACCAAAACTCACCAAGTTATGAGTTACCATCACCATGTCTATCTCCCTAAAGGATGGACTTTCGCCTGTGGAAATGTTACTTATGCTTATGTCCCAGGTAACATTACAGGAGTTCCCTGTGCAATTGCCTAATCATGACCAAGTTTTCCAAATCTGATCTGATCTCTGAAACCACCCAGCTACACAAACCGCAGAGAGACAGGAGAGATGTCAAAACACCCTTACTTCAGATTGTAACCCTGAAATCACTCTCTTGCAAATACTTTGCCCTTGCGTACTCTATGGTAGGAGTCCCAGGCTTCCCTCTGTATAATACCCGACATCCCAGGCCCTGGAGGAACTTCTAATGGATAACCAGGTTAATAAGAAAATGATCCTTGAAAATAGAGCAGCTATTGACTATTTGTTAATGAAACAGGATTTAGGATGTGAGGCAGTAAAGGACATGTGCTGCTTTAATCTTTCGCATCATGGGACCATGATACATGAGCATATACAGAATCTGCACGATCTAGTGAAGGAAATGAAATAAGCTACAGGGTTCTTTGGGGACTGGGATTGGACCTTTGGTCTTGATACATGGCTCAGTATGTTAATTAAGAAAATATTGTATTTCTTACTTATTGCAGTATTTGTCATAATGATGATTTTTCTGACATTTAAGTTCTTCTCCTGTCTAATATCATCCTTGTGTAAATCAAAACCTCACGTTGGTCGTACCTTCACTTATATGCCAGCTTCCTCAACCTCAGACACCTACAGGTGCTGTATAACCGATGAAGGAATATTCTTCCTGTGACCCCTGGCTTGCCCTGTCTGAGGGAACCGTGGTCCAGTATGTTTTTACTTTCATGTTATGCTTTGAACTTTTAGTCTAGTTTCAGTGTCTGACAAGTAAGCATAAATTCATAACCTGTGGCATTCTGTGGTTTCTGAAGAGACATTTAGGTTTCCCCTGAACATATCTTTGGATTATTTATATCTGACTGTCCCAGGAATTTTCTGTATCTATTTTCACATACAACAACTTCATACTAGATACTATCTGTTATGATGTACTTTTCCTGTATATCGTAACTTGAAAGACTATATGCACTAGATCTTTTTTTTCATATTTCTTACCCAAATAAAATATTGTATTTTTAACTATACTGAATTCTGCTCTTTATAGTTATCCCAGGTAACAGCTGCTCTTTTTAAGTTGAAAAACTTCAGAAATTTTGCATATCGCAAAATATGCAAATTTTGCATATGTTTGGCGATTTAATGGCGCATTTTTAAAGGCTGCAGGGCAGCCAATCAACAAGCGTTTGACTCGTGTGCCCTTAGAAGCCATCACAGCCATGCCTACTAATTGCATGGCTGTGATTGGCCAGTGCAGCATGGGACCCAGCCTCTATATATAAGCTGGAGTCGCGTAGCACCGCACGCAAGGTTTTATTAGTGTAGGGAGAGGATGCTGCCGCTGATAGGGACAGCTTAGGAAAGAATTCTGCAAACCAGTACATTAGTGGGGTGCACTTCATATGTGAGAGTCAAATAGAAGCGTTAAATACTGCTGTCACATTGCAGTTTTAAAACGTAAAATTGTTTGGGTGCTAAACTGCTAAATAGTATTTTAGTGGGTTGCACTTCATATCTGAGAGTCAATTAGAAGCGTTTAACAGTGTGCTTACAGCGCAGTGGTAAACTTTTTTTTCTGGGTGCTAATCTGCTAAATAGTACATTTTGGGGCCTGCTCTTCATATCTGAGAGTCAAATAGAAGTGTCAAATAGTGCGCTTACTGCGCAGTTGTAAACGTTCTAATTGGTTTGCTGCTAATCTGCTGCTTACATTGGAGTTTTAAAAAGTAAATTTGTTTTACATTTTTTTTTTGTGCTAAGATCCTTGAAAAAATTGTGTATGCGAGATTGACAGACTTCCTCGAGTCCAACTCTCTGCTAGACCCACTTCAGTCTGGTTTCCGCGCTAAGCACTCTGTGGAAACGGCACTGACCAAAGTATCCAATGATCTATTCGCTACAAAATCTCGTGGTCGCTACTCTATCCTAATTCTCCTTGACCTGTCTGCGGCTTTGACACTGTTGACACAACAGCTTCTTCTCATCCTCTGCAATATCGGTCTACAAGATATTGCTCTCTCCTGGTGCTCCTCATACCTCTCCCAGCGCTCTTTCAGTGTTTCTTTCTCTGGCTCTGCTTCTTCTCCCCAACTCCTCTCTGTTGGTGTCCCCCAAGGTTCAGTACTTGGTCCCCTACTGTTCTCCATCTATACTGCCTCCCTTGGTAAACTCATTAGCTCCTTTGGCTTCCAATATCATTTCTATGCGGATGACACGCAAATCTACCTGTCCTCTCCTGATCTCTCCCCGTCCCTCTTGACTAGTGTCTCTGTCTGCCTCTCTGCTGTTTCTAACTGGATGGCTGCCCACTTCCTTAAACTAAACTTGACCAAAACTGAAATTCTGGTCTTTCCTCCCTCAAGTGTTGTTACTCCTGTCTCTGTCTCCCTCCAAGTCAACGGTGCTACCATCAGCTCCACCATGCAGGCTCGCTGCCTAGGTGTTCTCTTTGACTCTGACCTCTCCTTCAAGCCTCATGTTCAATCTATCGCCAAATCCTGTCATTTCCATCTCAAAAACATTGCGCGCATCCGCCCCTACTTAACGCCAGATGCGACTAAAGTGTTGGTCCATTCCACTGTCCTTTCTCGCCTTGACTACTGTAATCCGCTTCTCAGTGGTCTTACGTGCTCCCAACTTGCGCCGTTACAGTCCATAATGAATGCGGAGGCGAGGCTCGGCTCATCTTCCTGTCCGCCCGCACCTCCCATGCCTCACCCTTCTGTCAGTCCCTACATTGGCTTCCTTATAAAATATAGAGCTCAATTTAAAATTCTGGTTCTTGCTTTCAAATCTCTATGTAATGCTGCTCCCACTTATCTATCCTCCCTTATACACAAGTATGTCCCGTGTAGGCCCTTACGATCTGCTGAAGACTTACGTCTATCTTCTGTCCGTACTCCCACCTCTGATGCTCGCCTTCAAGATTTCTCGAGGGCTGCACCGTTCCTGTGGAACTCGCTTCCCTCCTCCGTTAGATGCTCACCCAGTCTCCACTCCTTCAAAAAATCATTAAAAACCCACTTCATAAAATAGTACATTTTGGGGCCTGCTCTTTATATCTACAAGTCATGCTACAACAGAATTAAACAAGTTTTAAAATATGTATGGGCCATCCAGTGGCTGTAAAAACAAAGTTTTACTGGTTACATTCATGACTACACACTCTAGTGAACAGGACCTTCATGTAGTGTGTTTTTTTTTTTTTTAAATCATACAGCATCCTTTCATGTGCTTTTCAGATGTCATATTGTGAATTATCAATTTTTGTGTAGCCTGATTTTTTTTTTTTTTAAATGTGAAAAATAAGTGTTATTGTGAATGCTTCATTTACAGAAGCATTAATATACATTTCTAGATTGTGAAAAGACACAACTACAAAGTTAAAAACCAAACACCAAAACAACGTGCCAGACAATCTACCTGTGCATGGCTAGTGTGATACAATAAGTCTACATCTTAAAAAATGCAATAATCCACAGAAGATGGGCTAGAATTTTTTTTGCAAATGGAACTTTGATTCGAATTTACTACATCGGTCACTTGTAATATTGTTTCACACCTACAACACTTGTTACACAGATCTAAGTGATAGAAAACAGATTGATATTTTCTACACTAGAAAGTACCAGCTAACAAGCTACTATATTTAAACCAGTTATCAATAGCTAAGAGGTACTTAAACAATATTGTAATTCTGGGGCAGTACCCTCACAAGTCAAACTGAGAGGTCAGTCTATAGGGAAAACTTGCCTGGATACAATTATTATGATATTTATAGAGCGCAGTCAAATTACGCAGCGCTTTCTAAAGCAATTCTAAAACAATTTCCATATGTCCTTTGCAGACTTTACATGTTGGAAAAACACAGATGCCAACTGCTGTGGCTTTCTGAAGTGAACATACCGGCAAGGAGGGCAGGGTTGAGGAGTGGGTGGAAGATGATGTGGAGGATGATGAGGTCATACACAACACATGGAATCTAGGTCATGTGAGTGATGTGTGCAGTTTGGAGGAAGAGGCGCTGGTCGCACAGAGGCACCAGCATAGCATAAGAGAAAGCAGGGTGCAAAAGCGGAGAAGAGCGGGCGGCCCCTAGCGCTCGTCGGCATGTATTAGCTCGAGAATTACCAGTTATCCAAGTAATACATGTAGCGATCAAAGGATCCATAATAGAGTTGAGCGAACCCGAACTGCAAAGTTCGGGTTCATTACAGATTAAACGATCCATTCGTAGTTTCACAGTCAGGTGGGCAGTCCGGTGACCAGGACCCAGACACTGTCTGGACGGTGGTCAGATGACCGGGACCCAGTATGCCTGATGATGAAGTTAGGAGTCACAGTGTGGAATGGATTAGCAGGGTAACCACACGCCCCCTGGTGTTGAGCACCAGCGTTTGTGCAGCCACATACCAGGACCCTGATGCAGCTTCAGTAAAAAGAGTACTGGATACCAGAAGCCATCACGAGACTGATCCGCAACTTGGAACAGGATGTGACATTCACTGTAGCGGCTGTGCGCACTTTTGGCGTTCTCACCCTGCTGCTGCTCACCTGTCTGTGCTGCAGCATAACTTTGGCCTTCCCGCTCACCGCCTCATGAGACTGTGCGAGCAGCAGCAGGCGATACTGGAGTTTCAGCTGCAGCATGCACGGGTCAGTGGCTCTGCACCAGACTTCCCTCCAATTGATCACAGTTAGAGGATTTCAAGTGGACTCATTACAATTACAGGGCCTCTAAAGAGTCCTGTATTGTTATTTGTGGTCACTACCTTCCCGCACCTGCTGCCTTCCTTGCATACAGTAGCCGTTTTTCAGGGTCCCTGTACAGCCCCGTTACCCGTGGTCACCATGGTAGGCGCAGAAACTGGCATCGAAAGTTGATATGGATGACATCCAAATGCAAAGTCACCATCACGGGGATGTGCGATTGGCCCGAGGTTCTCTAGAGTCAAAGTGCCTGCGCAACTATAATGTCAACAGCTACACTGCGGAACAGAGTTGTCTTTTTTATATGTCCCAATATTTTGGGGGCTACCCCAATTAAAAAAAACTGTGTTGGCTACCTCATCCTCCTCCTCCACCGCCGCTTCCACCTACACAGCCACGGTCACCGACTCCTCAACCTATGGGTCACTTAGTATAAACTATGTACACAATAGCAGAGGCTTGTGAAGGCCTTTTCTCCATGCATCAGGACTGCAACAAATGCACCGCAGGCCGCAAATGTATCTTTTTTATATGTCCCAATCTTTTGGGGGCTACCCCAATAAAAAACAATATATATATATTGTTGCGGAGCTGCAATTTTATAATCCCAGGATCTCTGCTGGTAGAATGCAATAACCAAGTACAAAGCTGGAAGCAGGCAATATTCCCAAATCCTCCCAAGAACCAGACGAAACACAGTCTGAGAGTCAACTGCCACTTTATTCAAAAAGACTGATATTTAAAGCAGGTCACTCAACTGTCACTTTATTAAAAATAACTGATATTTAAAGCAGGTCACTCAACAGGGGTTTCCAAAGATGGGCAGCAGGGGTTTTGGTTGAGGGGACTGGAGGGAGACTACCGTTTCCAGGTCCTCCTCCCAACAGCCCCTGCTGTAACATACAGTAATGAAAACTACGAGGACATAAACCGTTACCTTTCTACTTCAAAATATACAACTTAGTCAGTTTTAATAGCAATGCTAACGAATGGGGAGGATTCGAACAGACATACACAGTACAGCATAAATTAAACATAGCCGGAGACGCCACACTATACCGGCGCGCAGTACACAACAGAAAATAGGCACAACCATTCAATCTTAGGCAGTCCCAAGTGGCTAGGTTTGCCACATATATATATATATATATATATATATATATATATGTATAAAGGTAAAGAAGAGATGCACTCTGTGGTCTTTTGAAGATAATTATTGGTATTTAATGTCCAACATAATTAAATGTCTGCTCGATGTTTCGACCTCTTCAGGTCTTCCTCAAGATCAATTTACAAACAAATATAACAGGTGAACACTGCATGATTGGTGAGTAAACTCCCTTTCTTTTTTCCTATATATTTCTGTTATATTTGTTTGTATATTGATCTTGAGGAAGACCTGAAGAGGTCAAAACGTCGATCGGACATTTATGTTGGACATTAAATACCAATAATTATCTTCAAAAGACCACAGAGTGCATCTCTTCTTTAACTTTTATCTATACCCAGCGTGAGATTGCTCCAGGGCATATTTTTCTATATACTACATGAAAGGGTGAGTGCCACTATATCTACCTCCTCCTCCTCCACCGCCGCTTCCACCTACACCGCCACGGTCACCGCCTCCTCAACCTATGGGTCACTTAGTATAAACTATGTACACAATAGCAGATGCTTGTGAAGGCCTTTTCTCCATGCATCAGGAGTTGAGCTCAGTTTGAACAATGAAAGAGAATACCCTGCACTCCAACCCACTCTCAAATGGATAATTCTGGTGATCCTCCTGACAGCCATGCTTTAGAGCAGGCATAGGCAACCTTCGGCACTCCAGATGTTGTGGACTACATCCCCCATAATGCTCTTACACACATAATGCTGGCAAAGCATCAAGGGAGGTGTAGTCCAAAACACCTGCAGTGCCGAAGGTTGCCTATGCCTGTTTTAGAGTTTGATTTATGTTCTTCCAAAGTTAAAATCAAAGATTCCATCTAGTGCTATTTTATGGCTCAGCTGTATTTTAAATTGTTGTTATTTTCAGTGATTTCCCTATCCACATTTGTTTGCAGGCACTTGTCCTACTCTTACCCCTATTTTACTTCCTTTTGTAGCTCTCTAGCCCTTTCCAGGAGTTTTTTAGAGGCATTTTTGTGGCCAAAAGTTTGGGTCCTCATTGACTTCAATGGGGTTCGGGTTCGGGGTCAAGTTCGATCCCGAACCCGGACTTTTTTTCAAAGTTCGGCCGAACCTGCCGGACCCAAACATCCAGGTGTCCGCTCAACTCTACTTGTAATACCTCTGGATTGGAATTAAGTGGGTGAGCTGCAAGTGGTATAACAGTTGATGGGAGAGTGCTTGGAAACATTTTTGAAGGCGGTTTGATGCTTTGAAGACACAGTTGACCTTTCTCATGCCAAGGAATGGTGTTAATCATGTTTATATAGTATTGTGGGTTTGGGTTGTGTGGCTTGGACCATTTGTATGCTTGTTAGAATAATCGCCTGATGGTAGGCTTTAATATCTAGCAGTCCCAGACCACCTCAGAGTTTATGGCTCATGAGTATCTTGTGCGCTATTCTTGGGCGCTTTTGGGACAAATTTGTCACGGCTCCCGGTGATCTTGCTGGCGTGGTTGCACATAAAGTAAACAAATTTTACTTACCTTGTTCACAGCAGATCACTCCCTCCAGTCTGGTCCCAAGCGGGTCTGACGCTCTTAGGAGCGCCGACTGCTGCGGTTCAGATTTTTGTATTAAACTTACCTTCCCCCACACCAAAGATGGCACCAACATGCGTGCGACGCATGTTTTGGTGTCAGTGATCAGAGGCAGCCAATTTCAGTCAAAGGAGGGGTAATTAAACCCAAATTACCTTTCTGCCAGTTCTCTGTCGGGGTTTCCCTTTGATGGCTATCCGAGAGTGTGTTCCTGATTTTTTTTTTTGGTTTTTGACTTTGGCTTCGTTCTGACTTCCCTGATTTCTGGTACCCTTGACTTTTGGCTTTTCATTATCACTGTTCCTCATTCTGTGTCCCTGACCTCGGCAAGTATTTTGACTATTCTCTGGTACCTTAAGTGCGGCCATTCTAAGGTCCGGTTAGACGTTATCCTTAGTCATGGTGTGATACAATTCTGCGTGCTGGATCAACAGTAATCCTGACATTATGACATAGCCATAGATCCTGCAGAATTATGTCAGCACATAGTAGCTTGCGAGAGAAAGCTAGAGGATATTGATAACCGTATGGATCAATTTGCCCAGGCTTTTAATATGCTCCCAATACGGACGGCTCATTTACAGCCTGATGCTGCTCCGGCAGTTACACCTCCACCTATTGTATATAAGGCACCTACTATCTCCCTATCGCCACCCCCGGACTTTGAAGGTAATACTCAAGAAAGTTGGGGATTCCTTAATCAGATTGAGTACCATTTTGAAGCCTCACCTGGGTCCTTTCCCACAGAGCTAAAATTGGGTACTTAATGAACCAACTTAAAGGTAAAGCCTTAGCTTGGACCAATCCATTATGGGAGAGTGATAGGACTATTACCTATAATTACCAGGAATTCCTTGTGGAATTCAAATTGACGTTTGAAACATTAGGAAGGGAAAATAACGCTTCCACTGCCCTAATGCGTATCAAACAAGGGAACCGGTCTCTCTCAGATTATGCCATAGAATTCCGCACCCTTCTGAGGCAGATTGGACTAAAAATGGATTAATCACTGCTTTTGCAGAAGGATTATCCGAAGCGATCTTTGATTAAATTGCAGCAAAAGAACTACCAAAGTGTTTAAAAGTATACATCAAATGTGTGATACATATGGATAGAACTAGACTTATGAATGTCACTGGCACTTTGCTTCTCCAAACCTGTGGTGCCTGGCCTTTCTGTACAGTCTGAACCTGAACCTATGTAGTTAGGGGTTATGAGACTGTCTGAGGCAGAGAAACCGTTTAGGAGAAAAGAGGGCCTCTGCTTATACTGTGGCAAGAAAGGACATATGAGAGATTCTTGTCCCATACGTCTGGAAAACTTGCACACTTAAGAACCATAAGGGGACAAGTCTTAGGTGTGATGGATAGGCCTCCTGGTACTACCCAAAGTAGATTTCTCCTTGATATTACTGCTCTATGAGAAATGCATATTTGACCAGACAGAGGTACAGTTTTTGGGATATAATATTTCGGCCGCTGGTTTTCAGATGGACCCTCGCAAACTAGAACCCTTCTACACTGGCCGTTGCATAATGGGTTAAAGGCTATTCTAACATTCATTTGGTTTGCTAATTACTATAGGAGAATCATCAAAGGTTTCTCTACTGTTATAGCACCCATCACCAATATGACACAAAAGGGGGTTGAACTGTATATATGGTCTAAAGCTTTTGAGCTACTTAAGATATTATTCGCTTCTGCTAACATATTTGTACACCCCAACACTAAAAAACCTTTCATACTGGAGGTAGATGCCTCTGAGACAGGGGTCGGTGCTTTCCTTTCTCAGAGAGAGTCAGGATACCCCTTTGCATCCTTGTGGGTTCTTTTCTAGAATGTTGTCACCAGCAGGGCGTAACTACGATATTGATAACAGGGAATTGTTAGCCATTATCCTGGCTCTGAAAGAATGGTGACATATTTTAGAGGGTTCTAAGGAACCCCTTCTGATCATAACGGATTATAACTGATCACAAAAACTTGGCATACATTGGAGATGCTAAAAGGCTGTCTTCTAGACAAGCTAGATGTTTTTGTCATTGTTCTTGTCACGCTTTAACTTTCTTATCACTTACAGGCCTGGTCCTAAGAACGTTAAGGCAGATGCCCTATCTAGGCAATTTGACCTAGAGGCGGAACAAGAAACCTCTCCCGTCATACCACCTGAATGTATCAATGCCTCTACGGTCCTTTCCTTGTCTTCTCTTCTTTGTGCTATAATGGCAGCTCAGACTCTGGCACCTTGTGATAAACCTCAAGATAGATTGTTTATTCCATTACTAAAAAGAGAGGCGGTACTAAGAGTGTTTCACAATAATGTGACATCTGGTCATCCAGGTATTAATAAAAAACTGTGTCCACTGTTTCTAGGTCATTTTCTCTTAGAAAGGACATCAGGGAGTATGTGGAGGCATGTACTATTTGTGCGGTTTCTAAGGTTCCCCATAAACTACCGTGCGGGCTATTACAACCACTTCCTATACCCAGTATTCCATGGTCTCATTTGTCTATGGACTTTATTGTGGAACTACCGCCCATTTCTAATGGCTACACCACCATCCTAATGGTTGTTGACCACTTTTCTAAAATGGTACACTTTGTTCCGCTCAAAAAGATACCTTGTTCCCTAGAGCTGGCTCATGTATTTATACACGAAAGTCAGATTACATGGTAATACGCTTAATATTGTGTCAGATAGGGGTTC